CGCTGAGAATACATTGGGGGTGGGGGGAGGGGAGGTTACATAAGTATAACAGCAAGTACGGTATAACTATAACACACAGGTCATCTGTGCTTTTTTATGAGGGCTTTAGCCAGGAGGACGTAGTTTCTAACTAACGTTGTTTGTAAGACTTAGAAGGGTAAGAGCACCGGGGTGGGCGAGACGATTATCTCGGCTAGCTCGTTCCTAGCCTCGATTAAAAGGTTGCATGAATCTTCGATAACACGGGATAACACGTAACATCGAGTTAATTCTTGTTATACTAATACTGTTATGTGTGCCCTCCCCCAACTACATTTCCATCAATGCAATCTATTGACTAGGTCTATAGACTTCAGGCTATACGGAGTGTGAATGCAGTTTTGAACTGGTGTGGCGGTCAGGTGTCAGGTGGTGATCACTGGAACCCTCAATCTCTGATCATTTGTAAAAAATTGTTCACTTAATTAATATGTGGGTCAACCCCGTGATTTTCATTTTCTCGAATGTTCAGTGTGCTTTAACATTGTAACCTGAAAGTTAATGATAATGAAATGTAAAGGCAGATCTAACCGATTTTGCTATGAATCCGTAAAAGTGTTCCGTCTTTTCGAAATTTTCCCGTTACCAGAACTAAGCCTCCTTGAGAACTGAGTTCAAACTGAGATGCTGCAGTCTTTGACCGGATGTTGGTGCAATACCGTATTTTGCTCCTTTTGATAATTTATGATCATTAAACATGTTCAGCTTGATAACTCTGTAGCGTGGAATAATTTAATGCATGTCACCATGGTCGTCTTTAAGTGACGCTTTCCTTTGCTTAAGTAATCAGCAAAAAACTTCTATGAGACGTGCTCGATGCGAGAAGCTTCGGCTTGAAATTCAACCACTTTTCGCACCATGTACCGAATTTCTCTCGGTTTTGCCCCCGAGGATGGATTTACTCGAAAACTTGCCCTAAAGCAGTTTAGACCCGCTGCCCTCAAGTATTGCATTCGTGTGGCTCGAAAGCATAACTGAGGCATTTGAACCAAATTGCTTTGGTTCATAAAATTCAATGACTACTGGTTCCCAGGGTAGTTTGGATGATTGAATAGGAACATTGGAATCATTTTACACAAAAACATCGAAACCTCAAAGGCCTCCACTGCCGGGCTCTGACGCTGGAGCCAGAAGCTTTTGAGCTTCTGAGCGGACGCGATATGGTCCAACTACTTCCGGGACCAATTTGTAGCGAAATTTATTGCCGGCCAGCAGACCCAATAATTTGGCTACAGGCTCGCTCCCGAAATTACTGAAGATTAAATCAAAAGTATCTGGACACAAAACTGGCGAATTCTGGGCAAAATTTAAGTCTCGCACAGGACTCGAACCCCCACATGCAGCGTGGTGAGCGCAGTCAGTCAATATCGGCATCGAACCGTAAAGTTGTAAGCTGTTATAATTTGATTTATTTTGATGTTTTTTGTTGATTGCAATTAATTCGCCGTTGTACACTATGAGAATGTATGGGTTTGAGTGACGTCCGAGACTGAAGTTTTGCCCTTATTCCTCAATCTTGTCAGATTTTCGTATCGCGTACAACCACGAAATATCCGAAAAACGAAGCATAAAGTCGGGATCTGGACTATTTCTGAGAATTGATGTAGTATAATGTAAGTGGTGCCGAGAAAGCAAATCCTGTAGTACGACTTAAACTCGGGAACACCTGCAATCACCAGTTACTCTGAAGGAAACACTGTTTCTGAATCAATAATCGCAAAGTCGTGATTAAACCTACACGATTATTTTTTCGACATTATAACAAATCGTCCCCAGAGGGGACCTCCTCGCTGTTCGAAAGCTGTTCGGCTCCTATGTTGCAGGGCCACTGCAACAAAAACCTTTAGGGCTTGTTTGGTCCCATAAGAAAGATTCCGAATGCTGGAATTCTTTATGGCTCCTCAAATTTTATCGGACAGTGTAAGAGCGAGTCCACTCAATTCCAAATTGTTGACTTCTCGGTTTGACCGCTAGTGCGGTAGGTGTGGGGTGGGCTGGCAAGAGCTTATCTCTCTCGGACTGGTGGGGCTGTAAAAGAGGCATGCATGGCCATAAAAAGACCAGCTCAGCTTCCAAGAAAGTTTTATGAGGGGAAGGTAACTGTATCAGACTTGGCAGGGACCAGTCGAAAACAACCTAAAAACCGTCTATCCCAAGTCGATACTTCCTCTGCTGCCATTCGATGGGAGATGTTTCCTCTCTTTTCTCGTGAACATATAATGCTTAAAGCAGCTTAAATCGAAATCGGGACTTCTCTGGCAGGAAGTAATCAAAGATGCCATTACCATTACACTACTCTTAAAAGAGCCATTACCAGTTTTTGTGGCCGAGTTTTCATTTCTGTCTATCTAAGCTCATCTTTTATGAGAGAATTTCAAAGCATAGAGGGTTGAGAGTAGGATTGAGGGCTAAATTAACGTATTCCTTTGCAAATTCAATTTATTTTCGATTATTTTCACTAGGTTCAAATTTAATGTTAGTCAGCTGTGTCTGGCTCTCACTGATTCAAGTAGTAAGTAGTAGTAATGTTATAGTGCTTTCTTTTTCCAGCGAGAGCTTTGGACAGACTTGATGAGCTTATACTCTACCACTTTATTACTTTTACTTTTCATCGTAATGACTCTGAAATCGTTTTCATGCATCAGACCCAGCGTTGGGCAACCTGGGGTTGTTAAAGAAAGCAAATGCAATGAAGCAGTCATCATTGCATAAGTGGTGAATTGCTCAACATGCGCCGTGTATCCGAAACCTTTCTGAAGTCTCCTAGTATTGAATGGACACCTAGCTCTTTACCTGCTCAAGTTAGCTCAGCAAACTAGACTCGTCCTCCCAAACAAATCCGAAATGCTTGGTCTTCTGCCAGAAGTGTAAAAGCCCTCTCTGGACTGACATTGAGTAGAATGTGAACCGTGGGCCCGTGCTTGCAACACTGCTCTTATCACTTTCCTCTCCTCCTTTCTATCTTCTCCTCTTTTCTCTTCATGCGAGTACGTCCTTTAGCTTTGTGCAATACTGATGAAACCTCTTATACAGGCAAAATTTTCCGAAAAAATTCCTTCGAATTAATTTTACTTTTATTATGTTGTTCAGTATTTATTTTTGTATAGTGCATTATTATGCCAATTCTATGGCCTTTGATCGGATATTTTCTACCAAAAAGTCAATAATTCCATTTATTGCATTTACAATTTTATTGCTCGACATTTCAGAGAGGCAAAATGGACAGGATCAAAAAGTCGTTCAAAACCAACGAACGTCAGCAGCTAATCGATTCGGATGAGGAACAGTAGGCAGGCATCGTTCAGAAGGAATGTCGTCGACTATTCCTTGCCATGTTAACATGGGTATAACAACAAGCGAATACCTTCTTTTATCGAGAGAAAGTTTTATATTTGCCCTTCCCCTTGCTAATATTTTGTATTATTTTAAGTATTAACTCGTGCTAGTTTTTTTTTATCAATTTTTAGTATCAAATATTATCAACAAATTGTATTTATTAGATGCATTGTACACATCATACACACAAAAAAACAGCTTTAGTGTATTTTAGAAATTGTGGTATAACCATCAGATCACAGCACTTTCGTGTTGAGCTTTGTACAGGTGCATATCTTACATAGAGAAATCTGCTAAACCGTTCATAAAGTAAAGCTATGATTGATTGATTGATCGGTCTATTGATTGATTCGTATTGTTGCCCTTCTAGTATACAAAAAATAGATGTAATGGATAAATTTTTATTCAGATCGTTGTAATCTACATGGGTACTTTGTATACTTGTTTCAATACCAGTTAAGATCAAGATCGACACCGCAAGGTCCTTTGTAATCACCAGCATATTGATGAATGGATGGCTTCGACCATCCACCGAATGGCACGAAATTAGTGTAATCCTAAAAAGTAACCAGTTGAGTGGGTACTAAAAAAACTAGAAAGCTCTTGTTTTTGGGTAATTTTACCTGATGTCCGTTGTAGTTGGCCCACCAGAGTGGACGGCTTGCCCATTGATTCCAGTTGATACCAACAATGTTGGCCCAGTTGTTGTTGTTGGTGTAGATTCCCCAGTTGACACCCATAGCCTGAAGTAAGTCATATGAACTGGGATATCCCACATGCATGGGACTTTGGGCATTCCCCAATTGGCGGTAATAGACTAGTATCACCGAAGAAAAGTAATCTGATAGCTTATATGACCATCTGTTTAGGCCTCCCAACTTCATACAGTATGACATCACCAGTTTCTGTTTTCATGTTTTCTTGGACCCATTTGTCCCCCTTTTTGTAGCTTGTTTGGATAAGCCAAGTTCGTAAAAATGCAAAACATCCGCTTTTTAGACCGCTGATTCGGCGTTCTCCAACACAACAGCATAGAACTGCAAATTTCAAACGTCTCGGGTAACCCCTGGTTTGCCCCGTTTCGAAATTGCCCAGGCTTACAGTCTGCCTAGTTTTCGGCTCTACACCTAATTCATGCAACTAAAGGAGAAGATCCAACTACCTCTTAAGCATATGGACACTTACATTAAGCTGGTTTCCCATGGCATTGATGAAGTTCCTGTTGTAGTTCTGGTCATTAGGCCAGGCGAAGATCTCTATATCTAGCCAGATCATACCGAACTGAGCACCCTCCGACTTGAGACGGTTGACAGTAGCTTCAACCTGAAAAACCAGCTTCGAATTGATTCAGCCATCTGCAGTTTTCGTCTGTCATTCAGATATACAAATTTTACGGGACAGAACATTTCCCTCACTAGATCCTGGAGCAAGGTGGAAGAGTGCGAAACTCTTGAAGATTTCTTTATTTTTCTAAAACGGAGTTGACTACGAATTGAAATTAATATTACCTGGGCTGCTGGAGAAGCACATGAGCTCTTCAGACACGGGAAAATGTAGGCGTCGACGTATTCCCATCCAGCTGAAACCATTCAATAATTGGTGCACTTGTAAAAGAATAACCTTGGAGGCTATAGACAGGAATGTTTAGAAGCTTTTGAGCTTGCATAGGGCTGGGGTTCTGACGAAGTTCTAAAAGTTTTACCAGTGTTTTCGGGGCGCAGCCCACGATAAAAATGGTTCATGGAATATCTCCCTAGTGTGAACCTGCGACCTCTGAATATGCCATATATAGCTCGGTCAGATCGAAAACGGCTTAGATGGCCCGGAGTTGGTTCATTTTGGAGATCCAAGGAAACTACATCATTCATAATGGAGCATACGTGTTGGTTGCGTGCATACAACTGGTTGCGACCCATAGTGAGAGTGGAAGGCAGATTTTAACATTTTTGGTTTAATGTAGTCATTTCATCACAGTACATAGTACACAATTGACAGCTCGTTAAAGTATCCCTTCCACGTCATTTCTGTCGTCGTAATCTCGCATAGCCTTTCCTTCCACTATTTTTTGAAGGTTTTTCATCTCAAAGGCGCAGTTCAGGATAATTTAGGGGTATCCGGTATTTCAGAGATAGTGATAGGTAAGGCTTACACTAGGACAATGGTAAAGCATAAAACGCTAAAAACAGCGAAAAAAAAGAGGAAAAAGTGGTTGGACGAGTTTCATAATGGGAAAACGGTGGCTAAGTAAATTTTCGCGGATTTTTTTTTCACCTCTGCATTATTCTTCACGATACCCCCATTAATCCATTAAAGCTGCGTGTGTCAAAATTATCGTGAACTGGAAAACAGGAAAGAATTACTGGGTGTAGGCTGTCGAAGTGATGATGTTACAAGTGTTAAATGAGAAGCGCAATCAATAAATCAGAAAATAAAGGATTCGTAGCAATTATCGGGGCTCCAAAAACGCGGATGAGTGCTTAGGTTTATTATAAAAAAGAGACGATTAGAACTAGGAAAGATTTTTGCAAGAAATTTTGTCTGGGCGAAAGTTGGCGGAGGGGCCTGGTCAGTCTTAGACAACGAGGTGCCTACGCCCAGGAACTATGTTTAGAGATAATGTCTAACTTAGTGTAAAGTAACCGAAACCCGGATCGCTTGAAAGAGGAATTAAAGGATTCTTTGATCCACTGTCACTGACCTGCACGGGCATTCTTGATGTTCTGAATTCCGGTTTCATCGTAGTTTCCTACACTTTCCCATGCACGTGCAATGAAAAAGCTGTATCCGTTCTGTTTCAGGCATTGGAATGTGCTGGTGGACATTGACTAAACAAGTTAACCTACAATTTTGCCTTTCTATCATCGTTTCATAAATTTCTCTGAGAGAATTTTAGCGCGCTATAGACTTTCAAAGCCTACTGCTATCTTATCACCAAACAGTTCAGTTCGTGCGTCAACCCTGGGTTGGTAATCTTTTCGTTGCTATTGTCACAAACCTGAGCAAACATTGCCGCTGCCAATTGGTTATTCTTTTCATTGTTCCAAGACTAGCTGATAAACTGTTAAAATGAGAGCAGGGCCTTACTACTGGCTTGTAATTTTTGCATTTTCTTGGAAGGAGCCCCCTCGTGGCTACTTGGTCTTCTAAGATCTACTAATACCAGAGCGTTAAGGATTTGAGGTTGGTAGCTCTACAGACTTAATTCAAAACTGTGGCAGAATCTCCGAATGAAATCAGGGAAGACTATCGGAACGTCTTGGCCTAATGAAAGCCGCCTTTCCACCATTTGTGAGTAAAAAAAATGAATGAATAAAAATAACAAAAGTTCAGCACTGGGAATTTTCTTGGAACTGTCTCTACTCTTAAAAAACAAAGCTGAACTGGAGAGACTTCAAACTTCACTTAATTGATCACTACCCCTGAGCTCTACACATTTGTTGCCTGTAGATTTTACCTTCATATTCACTAAAGGGTTTCTTTAATTGCAATTACTTTTTTATATATTCCAAGTCAATCACATTTTGCCCATACGATCACAGTCGTTATTTGACTGTAACGCAAAGCTAGTTAGCTCAGTTCAAATCAGGAAGCTTTACTACCTGGATGGCATCGAGGCCTGTTGTGGCTGCAGCTGAGCCGAGAAGGGCGACAAGGGTGGCTAAAAACCTAAAACAAAATGTCTTTAGACAAGAAGCGACATGGTCTAGAATTGTGAATTAACTTACAACATTGCCTCGAGAGGTAACTACAGGGCGTGGCATTGGTTTTTATAAGCTCATCGTTATCTGAAACCCGGATTGTCTGCCATCAGTACTGATAAGTGCGACTGTGACGGAAGCATTTTGTCTCTACAGACCCAGACCACATGATCAATGGGCAACTCAGGCATCAGGCATCTCACAAAATTTAGATGAATTTTATTGTCTGGCTGACAGCCTGCAAGCATTATTCCTATCGATAAGCTTACGGGCTTACAGTCAAAAGCTTCGGGAAAAATAGTATTTTAAACACAACTGTCGTAAATACCTGGATTGTGGCTTGTACTGATGTTCCCTATAAGAAAATGGAGGAATAAGTCTCGAATGCCTGAAAAAGGCGAGCCGTAAGAAGTTGTGAGCAGTAGAGAAGTCATAGGTGGCGGATTTCATCACTAGGTAACAATAAAGAAATCGGGATTGTACGAATTCTTGAACAGTCAACGATCTACTCTCTAGTTATCTCGGCATAGCCATACTTGATTTCTTTCACGGATGTGCTTCCGAAGTTCATATCAAGCGAAAACAAGAAGTACCAGCTTTCTTTGGAACACACCCAGTCCTTATCCCAGTAGTAAAGATGCGTGAGTTTGAGGACACGTTATTTGGCCTTCTAGAAAATCAGTGTTCTTGATCGGCCAAACACTGAAAAGTTGTCTTTCAATTCCTCCAGTGGAAAGAAATTACCAAACAGTACTGTGATTACAAAGAAATAGTGAACAGCTTCTTCCTCCCAGTTTTAGGGCTCGATCATAAACACCCACCACGCCTTGGTGAACAGGTCCAATTCGCAGTACGGTCCACGGTCCGAGGTTCAACCCGTCAGGATTCGCTAATCTCTTAACGCTTTACCTACAATGCCAGGCTTTCAGGTTTGAAACCAAATCTTGCAGGTCCTGCAGCCACATATTCGAAGTTCAGCTAACATGAAAAGTATCACATAAGCAAGTTTGAGGCAGATTTGCCTTACTTAAGTTATATTTTAAAATCCACATCAACGTTTTCTCACTTGAAAACCAGCTATTCATAAATGTTGTAGTCATGTTTCTTAGAAATTCTATTTGATGCATTTTTTATCTAGAGCTCAATAAGTCCATTCATTCGTTGGTCATGGAACGGGAATAGGAATTCCTCGAAGTCTCAAACAATATAATATTTTTTGGAAAAAAATTGGTGGTTGGAAGCACATGTTGAACAGTCCTTGCACAGCCGTTGAGTTTCGACTTGTGCGAGGTCACCTTCGTTTTTTTCAATTTCACAAAATTCAATCTCGAAAAAAAAAAGCTTCCCTCTTTTCCCCATTGTTGGTGTACAGCGAGGTTACTTCGCAGGTTACGGATGTGCTTGCAACACTAGCGAATCACTTTTACGGTGAGGGGTAAATTTTGATAAAATCTGGCCCCTTCTCTGAGTTGAAGATGTGGAGAAAGGTGAGTGGATTGCAGACAAAGATTCAGGTCCGATCCCAGCTGTGCTCCTCTGCACAATCAGTGAATAGCCTCATTTTGCGAATCGTCAGATAAATTTTGCCGAGTGAGACTGTTAACTGAGCACTATCTACAGCCGTTAGCTCACGGTCTGTTTGATTCCAAACATGAATTCGTGGCTCTTGAAAGTTCAGGTTGATACCTTTCCATAATAGTAAAATGTTTTACAAGACAATATCTCTGCATGAATTCAACAGTTAAGGATGAAGAATTTGAAAACTGAACATTTCTTCACTATCAAAGACAATGCTGCCAAGTTCGAATACTGCTGCACTGCTGAATTTGTGCAAACACGACGTTGACGTAATTAGAGATCCTGTTCAGGAGACTTTCTGGTCCCTTTATGGTCAACCTTAAATATCAGAGTGAGATAAAACTCTTGACAGGAAAAACATCATGTTTACTACTTTGTGACTTGCTTCGTGACTGTTATTTGTTTATTTGTTTCTTGTTTAGAATGTGTCTTGTCTTTGAAATGGAGCCATTGTTGCCTACAGTCAACATCCATGTGAGAACCATATAAGGGAGAGTAAAACCTATTCGAAGGCGTTCATATCCATGGGCTATATGTGAAACGCGAAGGGAGACCATTACATTAAAGCGTTTGTCCTGGTATATCCATTAACTTAAAAAAGGGTCAGGTAGCCTAAGCACAGCACCAGTTTTAACAGTAAGAAATGCCATCTTTCCCTGCTCTCTTTTGAGCTAGAAGGTTCATGGTTCTTTTAAAGTAGTGGATTAAAAAGAGAATTTCGAGGCCTACTTGTAGTTTGGCCAACCCGGTAGCACTGGCAGTGTTTCCGCTGGGCGGATCTACCTGAGAAAGGGGAGGGGAGGCTAGCTTGTTACGGCAGCGATACACAGTGGCTTGTCAAAACTTACAAATTATTACCATCCGTACATTACCCGAAATAATGCTGAGCGGCAGTAGTATAAGGTTACTAAGTTAAACACGGTGAGCCAAAGTTCATGTCTGAAGTTTCACGAGTTGTTTCCGCTTGCCATTAGCAAGTGCTCTGCCAGATCTATGGAAGCGCCTTAGTTCTCGTAATTCAGCTTATCATTCAGCAATCCGATGGAGCATTATAGGAAGTAATCATAATCAATTGTGATAAATATTGTAAAAAATGGGAAACTGAGTGAGAGCAATCATGTGTGGAAATAGTCTATAACAACATATTAGTAATCGCCTTTTGTGTTGTGTAAACAAGTACATCTAACAGTTCTATTTATAGGACATATATGTACTGAAAAAAACATATCAAACGAGACAAAGCTTCAATAATGTATGTTGTATCGCTATGAAAAGAAAAAGACCAGCTGGGAAGAAATCACATAACAATTCGAGAGGACATTTTCATTCGCTGTTTGAGACGGAGTGCTACTTCACACTTGTCCACGTATTTACATACAGATCTCTAGTTTATATTCAAAAACTATGAAATCCTCAGAACATCGTTGTTTTGTGGTTTTTGGTGTATCCTTGGTTTATGCGTAAGTGAGGTGGTACGTAGTCCGATGGATAGTCAGGCTCCAATTCTACTCGAATTGGCTGAGTTCGTGGTCCACCATTCTTGAGATTTTGTATTTTCTGAAAGGTATAGATAACACATCGGATGGGATCAGAAACCTGTGGCAGTTCGAGAAAAGTCCACGAAAATGAACTTTAGCTCTTGCAATTCTTTCAAAGATAACAAAATGTATAACTTAAATAATAGTTATTCCGAAATTTTACTTTCCAGTATAGGTCTTTAGACACTACTATTTGAATGACCAAAACAACAAGTATAACGCCTACGAACTATAAATTACTGTAGAGAAAAATCCTTGACAGGTATCCTTGACAGTGTTTTGAGTATTCCCCTGATATACCTCTAAGTCCTTGAATTTTTCTGGATTTCATCGTCATGTTCCAATCCACGGCTATGGCACCCCATATCCAATAGATGATTTCACCAAAGAGAGCAGAAAAAATCGTACACTGCCTACGCAACCCTGGATATTCTGTTACAAATGACGCACGGACCCTTCATTCCCTGTCCTCATATATCTACATAAATGTAGAATTGCTCGTCGTAGTAACCACGCTGTCGAGTGTACGATTTCTTGACTCTACAACCCGCTTATAGCCACCGGTTTCTACCGAGTAACTGGAATTGACGTGGTTTATTCGACCAATTTGCTGCCTGAAACGTCAATTGTCGTCACCTACAATAGGAAAGTCTGGATGGGGAGTTTTTCTTGAACTAAATGAGGGATAGCTCCAACAAATCCCTTCAAAAGTGCTCTTCCAAAGTGCCCTAGCAGTACTGAAGTACCGCTTGACGCCATACCTGAGGATTCAGTCATGGAAAAAAGCAGGGACCACATCTCTGAGTCCTGCCGGTACAAAGCTTTCCTATAAAACGACGAAAGGCGTAAGGATGATCTGCATTCAAAAAACTTTTTTTGTGATCTGGTGGCGCGATTCTTGACGAAAAGCGTTTAGTTTTTTTT